GGAAAAAATGGCACGCGCGACTCGGGGCGAGTTGCGCGGTTGGTTTTTTGCGACACTCGGACTCGGCTGCATTAGTCTATTAATGATGAAAACGGGATGGAGGGGCGAGGCGATGGAAAAATAGTGGGTCCATCTGGATTTGTTGTCATCTCAAGGAGTTATATCTTAGCGCAGTTTTATCTCACTGAATCTTAACTCATCGAATTTTCGACTTACCAAGATTTTAAAATTAGGTGATATAAAAATTCAGCCAATTTTAATACGATCAAATAAAATTTGTTCAGATGCCAATTTTTCGATTCGTGATAGCCCAGTTCTATCGATGATTAATTTGAATCGAAAGTAAGTAACGATTCACGTTCCATACCCAGCAGGGCACTATATGAATACCTTGTTTTTTGCAGCCCGGCCTACCGTTAGGCGGGGGGTAGCCGAGGTGAACTCCACATTTCATCGCCATTCGCATTTCCTGCTCGGGCGCCCAGCCGGCTGTCTTTCGAATCGCATTGCGGCCGCCGAAATATTGAAATCGCACCCTAAGTGGGCTCCATGTTCGGGTGAGGACGTGTGTTCTCGGGGAGAATGAGGGTGAGAATGGGTTCGAAGAAAACGGGAGAGGACGTGGAATTTTGTATTAATTATATTTATATAAACCAAACATTCAAAAGCACTTAAAAGTTATTAGCTTTTTTTCCAAGGCTCCAGGCCAACGTTTCTCAAAAAATTTCAATTGGTAGGCGGATTTCAACACTGTTCATATTGTCTAGCTCTTCAAAACAGCTAAAAAGACAATTATTTACGCTTGCTTTAAAGGAAACTCTTACTACAAGGCTGCTATTGCATCGCAACCATTGAATTTTCCCAAATAAAAAAATCTTCCTCTTTGAAATCCCATTCACCACCTAATACCCTACCGCCACCCGCCATAACCTAACGGTCAAACCTATTGTCATCAGAGCAGCGTGGATTAGTACCCGCTCCTCCCCCTAAACGACGCGTCGACGATATTTACGGCCCAACACCCTCCGTATATGTGTGTCTCTCCTATCCTTCTTTGGCCCAATTTGGGGACAGAAAGATGCGTGTGCCCGGCATTACACACAGCAAGAAGGGGGATTGGGCGATGATCGGGGTTGGGTCCCGTTTGTCTGTGTGGCCCCCTTCCTTCAAATCCTCCTCGCTTCCTTAAGCGCAATCGCAAGCAACCGGACCCATCCGCTCCCTCCAACTGGGGCAGATAACGGAGGAGTGGGAGGTTACGGTAGGGAGGGGAGGGAGAAGCCGGTCCTCGAAAGGCGGAATGGGCGCCTTGGACAGCACTTCCGGATACGGTATGTTAACGGTCTATGGCGGGTAGAGAAGCTGCTGTGTTACAGGAGTCATGCAAGAGGGTTTTTGATGTGACGCCAGAGGACAGTATCGAAGAACTTTCAAAAGGTATCGAATTTTTTAGGGCAAGCAGCTGATCAACACTTCGAATATTCAAGGATCTTTTAATGACCTACTGACGATATGAAGATATTTTTATAAGCTCTATAGCGGTTTTAGGAGTTTTGGGGGCATTACGGGCGTAAATACCAAGGAATTAGCCAAAATCCAATCAGGTTCACGTCCGATTTTCGGCCTCTTGGTGGAGTCAAAAAAAGACTGCCTTTGCATTCTAGATTCAATTTTACATTACATTACATTTTGTTTGATTTTACTGCTACTAAACCAAGCTGACTAAAAGCATAACTGTCATATCCTAAAGATGTCTACTCCTCTCCTTTGAAGCTTCCGATTACTTCGCGTACATACCCAAAGTAAACGCTATTGTGCCAGACGTACGACAACAATAAACCCCCAAAAACCGTTACCATCCCGACTTCACACGATAAACCCCGGCGGCATCAAATCTAATAAAACGTGCCCCAGCCCAATGAATAGACCGGTAAGCGAACGATGCCCCAAGACCCAAGATGACCCAGCGATGTTACTGTAGTTAATCTGTTTGACTATGGGGCCCCCGATTGTTACAACGTGTCGTGGCCCTTCGCGATCAGGGCGGAAGATCAATGGATAGATTTGAGACTGAGGGGGGATATATGCGGGGGGAATATGTGGTGGCTGGGATATTTGCCATCAGGATGGTCAAGTACCACACTTTGCAAGCCCCGTCCGGCTGCATGTATCCCTTCTATCGCCCCTAATCGGCAAATATTATTGGCAGCGGGTGGCGGAAAGACCGCCAAGGAAATCCCTGACCTCAGCCAACGTATCATGCGCAACTTGTTGGCCCTTCGGAAATAGTATTCGGGTTGGGGGTTGGTGGGTTTTGAGGTAGGGAGAGGGGCTTAGGGAATTAGGATCACAGTTGGGAGTTTTTAGTAAGCATCTAGAAAATAAAAAATCGTCCTATTTAAAATAAATAGTGTAAGGCCACAACTTGGATGCAAGTTTCGTAAGATTTTTCTTGCACGCGATCAGCTTAGAGGACGGATTTCAAGGCATGTTTGATGCGTCGTGAGGTGTGTAATGACCTTGAGATGACTGCCGATTTATTGGATTTTTAGAAAGTGTTATTTGAGGAAGGGCTATTAGAAAATTAGAAAAATCTTAGTAAATTTTTGTATAGACCTAAAGATTATGAAAAAGATCAAATAAAATATTCTGTGAGCAGCTTTCCACTTTGTTGGTAAGTTGGCTATGAAAATTGTCTCGTTCATAAAGTCCCAGATGCAGCACGGATCCAAAAAAAAAACTATAAAAGAAACGAAATAGGAAATAGAGCGAAAAATAGAACGCAGTTCGAAGCCAAATCAGAATCGGTAAACAAAAGAACTCTGCTCCCGGATTCGCTTCGGCCAAAAACCCAAACGCGTATTGCATCCAAATTGGCTTAAAAGTCCAGAAATTTACCGTTCATATCAAAAATCTCCTCCCCCGAATGACGCATGTTTAAGCGCTGCTGATCCACTCTCCTCCCCGACAGAAATGAGCAACACAATAACTCGATCTACTTAGCGGGCGGAGACCCACATTCGTCAGCTACTCCAAACCCGGGCTTCCTGTCTCCAACGCTTGAAAATAAGACTTTTATCGATAGGTGGAAGGGCTTAGTGACGATTATCGGCTAAAAGGAGGAGACGCACACCTGCTGCTTACTGCTCACTTTGGTTTTGCGAAATATTCTGAGTTACCTCAAGGGAATGGTTAGTATTTTGGAGCTAGTTTGGAACGATAGTAAAAGAATCTATCCTAACATGTAGTTAGATTAATGGAAGATCTAGCATGTCATTAAATCACAACGGAAAAAGCGTACAACTATACTGTAAAACACCTAAATAGTATTAGTATTAACCATCAAACCCATTTTTGTAGCCTATAGTCCATTCCATTCCATATCCTCCCTATTACAAAATCATCAAGGTCAACATGGTTCACCGACAAAGTGTGTCTACCGTTTTCCCCACATTTTTATTACCGCCACTCCATAACCATGGGGATATGTCGGCAAACATACCGGATGCCATGTTTCTCGTAGCCCAACGCCCGGCTTATCACAACCCAATGGGAGGCCTCCCGCTTCAGATCTAGCCACTTCTTTTACCCCCGAGACTTATCACACCTATACCCCCAACCCCCCTCATACTCCCGCAACTGGTCACAACAAAGCACCAATCACCCACCAACCGCAAAGCACCTACTGTATTAAAATCAGAAAGAAATAAAATCTATATGCGAATCATTGAGCCTAAAAATAACAATAGGATATAACAACGGAACCGTAGGCCTTATCGATGGCCGGGGGCTGGCTAGGCTTGCCGTTTCCTATCAGCTTAAGCACCTAGAACAGGTCACCGGGGAGTTGCCGGGATTTTTGGGCCCGCGGGAGCGAACCTCCCAAACAAATCGGGAGGAGACGATCGCTGGGGAGGAGTGGAGGCTGACTAACACATTTTATGATAACGCAAGTGGTGGGTGTTCGATCAAGCTATATTTGGTAGTGAGGGATGTGGTGCTAAATTGGAGATCAAGATACTATGAGGCACTGTTTGCTTACAGAACTCCTATATTCATAAAGTATATTTTTGAGTGCTCATTTTGACCCGCTCACGCCAAAAAATGCGTAACTCCCCGTAAACCGGAAAAATCTGCATTTTTGGTGTTGAAAATGGCGCGAAAAATTCAGAAAAGTGGTGGTAGGCAATCAGTCTGAATATTTTTTTTGATCTGAATGTTCTTACAGTATCGTGTTTTTTACTAACATAATTTTTCAATTTCTCTATTAAGCCCCTTCATCCTGTACCCCCAAACCCAATTCAGTGCATAAAACATTCAGATGCCAATGGTTTATTACCCTCCACACTGGAGGTGCCTTTGCCAGGCCGGTTTGTTGAAATAACTGGCCAGGGCAAGGGCGGTAGCTGGCGTCGTGTCCTGGGAATCCATCGGTTCAGGCTGTCCAGGAGGTCCATTGTTTCCAGGACGTCCGGGGTTTCCGTCGCGTCCAGGAGAACCAGCATCTCCGTCCTTTCCAGGGTTTCAGGGCCTCAGGAGCACCAGGGGTCCACTGTCCAGGGCGTCCAGGGGTTCCAGGTCTGCCAGGCGAGCCTCTCAGGCTGAGTTCAGGGGCTCAGGGGCGTCCAGGACGTCCATCGACTCCAGGCTCTCCAGGGTTTCCATTGTCTCCAGGCTCTCCAGGTCCTCCACGAGATCCAGGGTTTCCGGGTTGTCCGGCTAAATATATGGGTCGTAATAGTATATAGTGGTGAATACTTACGATGCCCAGGGCTTCCAGGCTCTCAAGCTTCTCCAGAGTTTCCGGGGGGTCCACGAGGTCCAGGAGTCAGGGGGCACGGGATGCAGCCTCCATCGTAGTGGTGGGTGACAGCCTATTTATTGTGGTTTAGTTTGGTAGTTCACGTAAGGTGCGTACCAAAGCGATACCCTTGGCTCAGGCCTTCCATCATCTCCGGGCAGACCCTCCTCTCCGGGCTCGCCAGGAAGTCAGGAGGTCAGGGGACCGGCGGGGCATCCACGAGATTGCATGCCACAGTTGCACTGCTCGTTGCTCCTCTTCTTGCGGCCGAACAAAGATTCGAAGTTGGGTGCGGCATCTGAACCGGGTTGTATTGTTTGTGATGATGAGATACCGGGTTGCCAGCGGGGTAGACGTGGGCGCTGTAGACGCGAGACCAGGCGCTGTTGACCTCGACGTCAAAGTGGGCGAGGCCCTCTCGGATCTCGGCATCCATATCGTTGATGTCATTGACGATGGCACCAATGGATGCTAGGGCTAGGAGAAGAGCGGCCAAAGAGGCCGCTGAAGCCACACCGACTTGCCACATCTGAGGGTTAGAAGTTATTTTTGAGGTTATAGAACACAAAGTTCTGAGTTGAGATCCGCACCAACTATTTAAAAGCTAGAATTACTGTACTAAAGCGTACGCTTAGGCAAGGCTCGTATCTAACTTAGGTTCTATATACACGGAGAGAATAAGCCAAAAAGAGTGGTTCAGGTGTTAATAGGAGCTTTCCAGTTGCCTATACGGCGTCCCTAAGGATAGCTATCTCTCTCAAAAACTCCTAGGGATGAAGGAAACCGGAAGGCTTACCAAAACCGTATCCTATCTTCCCCGCCATCCACCACTCCTTATATACGGGTCTCGGCCAAGATCTATCCCTTCAAAATCTTATTTGAGGGCCGGCTGCTGGAAAAAGTTTTTGCCTCCGTCACCCCCCGACTCCCCCACCCCACATACCAGTTTCATTTTTATCGCGTCGCCCTGCCGTTGGACGCTGAAGTGTTTCTAACATAAATCTACTCTTTTACTCCCACTCCCACCCCATCCCCTTTCACTTACAAAGAATGCGGATATCGCTTTATTTAAAATTTAAAATCAAAATCCTTGTATTCCTACGTTGAGCAAATGTAGGCCTAAAGAATGGTGAGACACGCGAGGAGGGACATAAATACGCTACATCTACATTCTGCATAAACAATGGGAATATAATGGATTTTAAAGATTATCGTATAAACTGGATTGTCGGTATGCATCAAATGTGGCTCATGAGGAATTTATGAAATATCTGAAAAACTGTTCAATATCTCCCGTTTGTACATACCGAAAATGTACCATCTCATTAAATGGAAACTTCAAAACCTCCTCGGTATATTCCGGTAAATGGTGCATTAGTTTCCAATAAGTTTCAAGAATTGTTGTTCGCACACAGACATGTCGACGCTAATGGCGTTGTCTGTAAAACAGGATTCCTGCCTATTTTGGAAGGACTTACTTCCACATAATTGCGTCGAGCCCAGCTGATTCTTTTCTGGCTTTAAATTATTAATATCGTATCTGACGGTTGAGCTCTTCGCTTGTCAAGTTCGACTTCCTGCAAGTGAATAACATAAACCCCTGGTTTTATGCATTCCTATATAAGGTCGGGTTTTAATTGAAAATTACACCTACGCATAAAGCAGGTATTGCCACGGCAACGCAACGGAGGTTTTGTTTCGCATCCTTTGATATTTATCGAATTGTAATTATTGTAATCAATGCAAAAAATGCATCTAAAAAGATTTAATTTTCGAAAGGGACGTAAGATTACTCAATATGGCGGTCCTGAGACCAATCTTCCTTCAAGGAATGGATGCTTTCAGGAGATATTGTTGAAACAGATGCACAGAGATCCGTCGCAATGTTCCCACCCGTTAATGGGAGAATAAAATTGGAGAGCAGAATCAATAACATCCAGAGGAACACTCTGGACGTCAACGTAGGCGAATTCTGACCCAGCCTCTTCTAAAAATATAATTACCCGTGAATGGATAGCTTTCAATTTTGGGCTTCGTCGCCTCACATACTATAATTGAAAAAGGGAACTTCGTCTGAAGGGAAATTCTTGAATCGTGATTTCGTTTCCAAAAGCGGAAACGCTCAGCGTATTTCTAACCCTAGAAAATAGACGTAAAGGATGGAAGAATAGTTTATGCTCAAAACTGGTCATAATTAGAGGCTATAAAGCATCTGCTGGGCTATAATCCATAAAATAAGCTGCCCGAAAAACAGCCGGAACCACATTACACCTGCAGCTGGGTCGAGCAAGACTTTTCAGAGTCATTCCAAACATCCGTTATTACCCTTAACACGCCCCATCCCGCTCAGAGACAAAAATAATGCACATGCTCGATTGGTTAATGCTGAAATGAAATAGCTGCACTCCCGAGGAAGGCTTGCTTTTATTATTCAGGGGCATTTTGAAATGTGGGGAATTTCACGGGCACCCAAAGCCTAGCCACGAAAGACAGGCGGTAAAAGAAACTCCATTCATGGATGAATGAATGCTAGAGAAACGTTCAAATGTGGGGGAGGGCAGGGCTTTACGGGCGAAGATTCCCCTTTTTTGTGCTTCTCGTGTCGAGAGATCATCAGAAGTGACGCGCCCAGAATTCTTCAGACGAATTATACAGCACCCCACCTTAAAGGGCATTATTTTAATAGTCACATCATTGTACATCAACCTTGAAAGGTAGCTTGAGAATGCTACACTACAAAAAATACTAGCCACTGTCAACAAAATAACATACGCTTTATTTTTGAAGTGCATTCTATAAATTCAAGCAAAAATTCTAGGCGAAATTTTGGCAATAATATAGTAGTTCATAAATTGAATTCAAGAGTGTGTAATTGTAAACACGGCATGCCGTAATCACCGGCATGCTTAAAGAAAAACAGAAGGGTGTCTCCTATTCCCTGAAGGGGATTGACCCCCAAGAACAGCCGGCTTACCTAAACAAGAAGTGGGCGGAACCCGGAGAAATAGGTGAAGCCACAACCGTTATTTCGAGCCTAATCCAGGGTATTGACTCCTGTGAGTTCAAATAACAGCGCTTTTTAGGCGGCACAGCGGGAAATAACGAAATGAAATGTGCTACCGGGCTTGTAGTTTCTGAAAATAGCGTTTGACATTTGGAAGGAATGCACCGTCTGAGAATAATTGTTCAGAATTTGTCCAGTACAACAGCGAAGAGCAAAACTAGGCGATCGAAGCTGACAAATCCTGGTCTTTTTGATCGACACAATTAGCTGAAATAAAATTTGTTGTTCTGAATTCGTGATTGGTGCACTCTTCCCGCACTTTTCTGGTCGGCGCCTATGGCCCGGCTTCTATTATTTTTATCTTGGAGAAGTTAAAACATACTGAACATGACCTACTACTACGGCCTTGTACAGTCCTGTTACATCAATTTTTGACCACAGTTCAGCATTTTCCATTCCAGTCAGCTAACAATAAAATATCTAATTAATTTGCAATTAAGACCAATAACGGCCCCAAACGATGCAACCGTAAAGTCCGGGGGGGGGGGGGCAACCTGAAAACAAAATTAGCAAAATCATACTGTCATTTTGCTTTTGTTGTTGCTTCGGGGGTCTTCATTAGCTGGTGGGGTTCTTGAGAATGTCCGGGGGGAGGGATGATTTTCAGGGCAGATCCAATTAAGTTTAGGAATAGTGAAAAATAGCTTCGAAGAAAACTGAGATCCAGACTTCCGAAAATACTAACGAACCGCTGGTGACCGTTTCAAGATCATTTATAGCTCTTCGCGCATCGCCTGTTTCGCTATGCGTTGGTTGCAAGGTTCCATTTATAACGGCAGTCGTGGCATCGCGCATTTCTGACCTAAAAAAAAACTGGATCGCTAATGCACTTCCGGGGTTGTCCGAATTTTGACTGCGAAGCGCTCCAAACGCCGTTTTATACTCTAAGCATCTGGAAAGCTAAGCTAACAGGGGGACGTTTTTGGGTGGGGCACGGAATTTCGTCGGGATCATGCTCCAGTTTTTCAAGCGCCTTCCAGATAGGCTAGATCTCGTTACGAAACTCAATGGCCACCCAAAAACGTCTCCTTGTAAGCCCGAAAAGACCCCATTATGACCCCCTAAAGCATTTTAAAGCTTCAGAGGAGGCTAAAGCATGAGCAGAAACCTAAGCTAGAGTATAGTAAAGCTAAGTTAAGCCTAGGCTTGCGCTAAAAACAAGTAGCCTAAGCGGAACGCCTTGTAACCTGGTACCATCAATTTCGGACTTCCCGCCCCGCTAGGTGCAGTAGCACCAAAAAAACGGTTAGAATCTTAGATAGCTTCACTATTTTCCATTTTGTTGTTCTGGTTGGTTTGCATGCCCTAGTGTTTCTTACGGGCTGGCTCGCTGCACGCTACTCAGTTTACTACACCTTTTTTCGATTCATTTACTGTTCTTTTTTTTTCCATACTTTATTTGTGTTTTTAGCATGGCTGACGGCGAAGGCGAATGCCGACAGCACTCGACGCAGGACGAGCCGTGGTGCCACTACACGGTCGTCGATACATTCCCCGAGGAGATGGAATGGCTGAAGACTCAACTAAAAACAGTCCCAGCTGAGGTTGAGCTCTGCTTCCTTTTTAATCACTTGCCTTCAGGTCCAAGACATCCTGCCCGCCTTGGCGCTTGACTTCTCGCATCTGAAACTGCACACCATTCCCGACGGGACTCACAGGGAGCGGAGGGAACACGGAAGAGGTTGGGGTTTTATATCACCGCTAATTTGGGTTTTAGAGCGGCACATGCGGTGAAAAGTTGGTCGGCTTTTTGGCGGCCTACCCGGATCCGGAGGAGTCGAAAAGCGCAGAAGAAGGGGCAGAAGCTGCCGGGAAATTGGTCGAAAAAATTTGCGAGGTATTCTGCTTTTTTTATTTTACCTTCGAATTTAGTCAATTCTTCTCACTGCCTCAGCACGACGCTTTAGGACCTGCAAAATATTCCATGGCATCCAGGTATCGCAATCTAGCCTTGTTGAGAAATCTTCTTTAGAAATCTGCTGTCGAGTTGACTGGCGGTTCGAGCAGAACCCCAGGACCGGACGAACATTTTGAGTTGGACGTTGGAGCACACCAATATAGGGTGCGGGGTTGTCGCTTCCGCAAGTTTTTGACTTTAGATTCTGGTCGGTCGCGGCGGCGGGAAACATATCTGGCAGCCAATGCGGTGGAGCACCTCGCTGATCCCTGGACAATCGGTCTTTACCCAAGGAGGAGGATTGTGTGAAAAGCACCGGTCTACATTCCGAGCTTCAGCGCCGGTATCCAGATCAAGGTATGCACTTTTTTTTCATCAACCATTCATTTCTAGTTCGCTCCCAGTCAGCGATCGCCCCTACACAATGGCTCATTTTGCGCACCCCGAGGACGCCGGCGAATATTCACGAAGACAGGGGCCATTCTCCAGTACAAATGTCCTCGGAACTCTTGCGCGGGCCACGAGCGGACACCCGAAATCGAGACCGAACTTTTCTCTACATTTGCGC